ATAATGTTATTATTGTCTGCTGTGTTCTGATCTAATTTACCACATCACTGTATATCTTGTTTATAGAATGTTATTATGGATGCCATGTTCTGATCTAATTTACCATAATACTGTACCATCTTGTTTATAGAATGTTATTATGGATGCCATGTTCTGATCTAATTTACCATAATACTGTATATCTTGTTTATAGAATGTTATTATGGATACCATGTTCTGATCTAATTTACCATAATACTGTATATCTTGTTAATAGAATGTTATTATGGATGCCATGTTCTGATCTAATTTACCATAATACTGTATACCTTGTTTATAGAATGTTATTATGGATGCCATGTTCTGATCTAATTTACCATAATACTGTATATCTTGTTTATAGAATGTTATTATCGATGCCTGTGTTCTGGACAAAGACTCTGGTCTGTTGCAGCAGGTAATGTTTTTTTTATCTGTAACTGTACTCCAGTTTTTAAAGTTAATGTTTGTGGTATCACAGTATTCATATGGACTAGCTATGGCTTAGTGGTTAACTTGCCAGACTGTGAATCTATGGGTTTGCAATTCATCTCTCAATACCACAAAATTGTTCTTGACGTTTTGGGACTGTCAGTGTGTTATAAGAGTGACAATCAGATCCCACTACTCAATTAGAGTAGCCCAGTGGTTGTTAGTCAGTGGCATTGACCAGCCACCTTCCCGTCAGTTCAAAATTAGGGTTGGCTAGTGCAGATAGCCCATGCACAAACTTCCCCCAATTGTCCAAAATAGATTAACAGTTTGTTTGTAATTTTAAAGTACTTCTGTCTTTTGACAGTAAAAATCTTTTCAGGGTACATAGGAGTAGGCTGGACTACCTTACATATTTTTTGAATAATGCAACTCTTACCCCCAGGAAAATATTTATTTTATTTACATTCCAACATTTCCCTATAATAAGGGTTAGAAGTGCTGACAAGGCTCTGCTATAACTAAAAAGTAGACTTATTTTTAAGTGTAGATGTAGCTTATTAGAGTTATAATTCTGGATCATAATGCAAAAGCAAAATTTCAGAATTTAAATAAAATGAATAATTTCCTGGAGATAAGATTTATTTTATTCACAAAATTAAAATCTACATCATTATTTGTGACTTAAGTAATGATACTTGATCACAACAGTCTAATACATGTATAGTAAAGGCTGTTTAAAGTTGGTATTTTTAGTTAATTAGTGAGTATATAATATCTATATATGATGCATTTTCTGTGCAGGGCTGTGACATCACTGGTGGCTGTTATTTAAAAGTAACCAACGTGTCTGCACTTCTACAGTATCTCTTGGTTAGTATAACATGACGTTTTCCTTTTCTAGGACTGATTATAAGTAATTCTCAGTTTTTGTTTGAATAAGATGTGGCACCATTTCATAACAAATAAGGTCTTGTGTTTTTCTCTTGATTTGCAACATCTGTTAAAGAAATTAAAGGAAGAATTTGAAATATGAAAACTAAAGATTTATTTGTGGATAAAACAAGTAATTATGTTTTGAAAGTTATTATTTCATTTAAAAAATGTGTTTCCAATGTATCTCCTTAACAATGCTAGGTAAACCTATTAAACATTTTTTTAAAAATATGATTGAAATTGAATTTTTAAAACTTAAACATTAACTCGTCTTATCTGTGGATAAAACTTTAATATAGTTCACTGTTTGTAAAATTTTGGTCAATGGTGTGAAATTCCTACCATTAGATTTATGGAAAGGGTATCTTTTTTAATAATCGTAGGATGGACAGAGATGTATATTATGAATCAACTGACAGTGAATAAAAATGTGTACTTGAACACAGTAAAGTCTAGTCCAATAAGCAAGGAAAAATATGGATTTAAAGTTCATTTAAACCTCCTACAACAACAACATACAGCTAATCCTGTTCTTAGCAAACAGTTAAAATCCCGTGTAATTTGTTTCAGTTTCACTAAATAATGCATTTCTTCTGTAGTGGGTATTTCTTCCAGACGCCAAGACTCGCAAGCAACTGGTGCAGCCCCCTCCAGTTCATGTTGACTATCGAGCTGCTTGTTTTTGTCACCGAGAACTTATAGACACAGGCTATGTGTGTTCTGTGTGTCTTTCTAGTGAGTGTTTCAGTGTATTTATAAACATCTGTATTTACTTAGAATTTTTAACATGTCTCTATAGTAAATAGATCTAGATTAACATGTTTTTATTGTAAGAAATCAAGATTGTTAATATCCCTGCATAGTAAGAAATCTATAATATTATCTTTGTCTGTGTAGTAAGAAACCTAGGGTGCTCGTTAATATTTCTGTCTATATGGTAAGAAATCTAGATTATATAATATCTATGTTTGAAAAGTAAAATGTCCAAATTGTTTGTTAACTTATCTGTATCACTAGATTTCTAGTTAAAGTACCCAGCCAGAGAATGTATATATAAGTAATTGTGATAGTGTTGATCTCAAGTTAATCTGCAGCTAAAGTACCCAGCCAGAGAATGTATATATAAGTAATTGTGATAGTGTTGATCTCAAGTTAATCTGCAGCTAAAGTACCCAGCCAGAGAATGTATATATAAGTAATTGTGATAGTGTTGATCTCAAGTTAATCTGCAGCTAAAGTACCCAGCCAGAGAATGTATATATATTCCTTGGCTGGGTACTAACAATGCTTACTTTCTCATATTTTTATAGAATGTTTTTGGAAGTTGAGGAAAATATTCAAAGATTAGTGTAAGTCTCAAACTTTTTAAAAATTCATTTAATTGCTTTAGGATTTATATACTTTTCTTAATGTGTTATTCTGTGTGAAAATAATAGACAGGTATCACACACAATGATTTTATTTTCTGTATGACTTATGTTCATTTTGTGATCTTTTATTTGTGTGTTCCAGTTTTCTGTGCTTTCAGCCCCATCTGTTCAACCTGTCAGTAAGTTATTTTCCATAATTATAAAATATGATAGTTTATATGTATATACATGGTAAAAACACAATTATACACATTCACACACACACACACACATATGTATCAGGAATCCCTAATAAAGGAAGCAACTAGCACAATAAACCTTTACTCATGATTATGCTGTCTTTGTATGATCACTGAATTAGTCTAATGTTAAAGAAGAACATTAATATCTTTTACCATGATAAAGTAACGAGTTTAAATACTTTACCTAGGCCTAATTTTAAGGAACAACATTTAGGTGATGTGTCATGATAAAATTATGTATTTAAGTACTTTATATCTAGACCTAACTTTATGGAACAATAGTAATATGTTTTATCATGATAACTTAATGTGTTTAAATACTTTACCTAGGCCTAACTTTAAGGAACAATATTAATATGTTATATCATGATAATATAATGAGTTTAAATACTTGACCTAGGCCTAACTTTAAGGAACAATACTAATATGTTGTATCATGATAATATAATGTGTTTAAATACTTTACCGAGGCCTAACTTTAAGGAACAACATTTAGATGAAGTGGGATTTATGGTTATCGTTTTTCTGTTAAAAGTTAGGTGTAGGCTTAGACCTAAATTACCAAAGTATTTTTTACCTTTGTCCTTGTTTTATGTTTAAAAATTGGTTAGTCTTATAACATAAATCAGCTTCCATATATTTTCTTTTCCAGTATGACACCAAAGTTGCTACCACCAGGTGTAGCTTATGTACAATTCTTGGCTATTCCCTTAATAAACACATTTTACTTCCCTTTATTTTACGTAGTATATGTTAAGGTGTTTCCTGCTATTTTAACTTCAGATTTTATGGTGCAAGTGCTCAAAGCTAATTCAAAAATGTATGATGTTCACTAGATGTTTTATATATGTAGTTATTGATTCCCTAGCTTAAATGTTTTCTTCTTTAATTTTTATATCAAATTAGTGCACTGATCTTAAGTGTGACTAGTATTTCAGTATGATACACTAATCTGAAGTGTGACTATTACTTCAGTATCATACATTGATCTGAAATGTCACTATTACTTCAGTATAGTACACTAATCTGAATTGTGACAAGTAGTTCAATATGATACACTAATCTCAAGTGTGACTGTTACTTAAATATGATACACTAATCTGAAGTATGACTAGTACTTTCGTATGGTACTATAATCTGAAGTGTGACTGTTACTTAAATATGATACACTAATCTGAATTGTGACAAGTAGTTCAATATGATACACTAATCTGGAGTGTCACTATTACTTCAGTATGGTACATTAATCTGAAGTGTGACTAGTACCTCAGTATGATACACTAGTCTGGAATGTGACTAGTACTTTCGTATGGTACTATAATCTGAAGTGTGACTATTACTTCAGTATGGTACACTACTCTGAAGTGTGACTACTATTTCAGTATGATACACTAGTCTGGAGTGTGACTATTACTTCAGTATGGTACATTAGTCTGAAGTGTAACTAGTACTTTCATATGGTACTATAATCTGAAGTGTGACAAGTAGTTCAGTATGATACACTAATCTGAAGTGTCACTATTACTTCAGTATGGTACATTAATCTGAAGTGTGACTAGTACCTCAGTATGATACACTAGTCTGGAATGTGACTAGTACTTTCGTATGGTACTATAATCTGAAGTGTCACTATTACTTCAGTATGGTACACTAGTCTGTAGTGTGACTAGTACTTCAGTATGGTACACTACTCTGAAGTGTGACTACTATTTCAGTATGATACACTAGTCTGAAGTGTGACTAGTACTTCAGTATGGTACATTAGTCTGGAGTGTAACTAGTACTTTCATATGGTACTATAATCTGAAGTGTGACTAGTACTTCAGTATGGTACATTAGTCTGGAGTGTAACTAGTACTTTCATATGGTACTATAATATGAAGTGTGACAAGTAGTTCAGTATGATACACTAATCTGAAGTGTCACTATTACTTCAGTATGGTACATTAATCTGAAGTGTGACTAGTACCTCAGTATGATACACTAGTCTGAAGTGTGACTATTACTTCAGTATGGTACACCAGTCTGGAGTGTGACTAGTACTTTCATATGGTACTATAATCTGGAGTGTGACTATTACTTCAGTATGATACACTAATCTGAAGTGTGACCAGTACTTTCATATGGTACTATAATTTGAAGTGTGACTATTACTTCAGTATGGTATTATAATCTGAAGTGTGACTAGTACTTCAGTATGGTACATTAGTCTAGAGTGTGACTAGTACTTTCATATGGTACTATAATCTGAAGTGTGACTATTACTTCAGTATAGTACACTAGTCTGGAGTGTGACTAGTACTTTCATATGGTACTATAATCTGAAGTGTGACTATTACTTCAGTATGATACACTAATCTGAAATGTGACTATTACTTCAGTATGATACACTAGTCTGGAGTGTGACTAGTACTTTCGTATGGTACTATAATCTGAAGTGTCACCATTACTTCAGTATAGTGCACTAGTCTGGAGTGTGACTAGTACTTTCATATGGTACT